TTAGATAAAGTGGCAAAAAATGAAAAGTTTTTCGAAAATGTGTTATTTAGTGACGAATGTACTTTTCATAACAATGGTCTCGTGAATAGACACAACTTTCATTTTAATTCTGATACGAATCCGCGCGCATACAGGGTCACGAAAAATCTAAATAGGTGGTCAGGTAATGTGTGGGGTGGAATACTGGACTAATATTTAATTGAAACATTTGTTATAAATAATTTGCCTTTGATTTATGTTATTGCTGATATGTTATTTAACCTTTTAATTTAAAAAATACCAAATGGTGCACACAACCATTATTTGGTGCATTTTGTAAAAGGGCAAAAACTTAGTTATCAACAATCTAACACCCATATGCAAAACTCAGTTCGGTTTTCAAAATCATTTCCATAAAGTTAATGGCAAAGCTGAATTTTATAAGGATAAAAGTTGTGCTTTTTGAGAATTCTGAAAATACTTCATTGACTAATGTACTTTTGGATATTAAATTTTGACAAACATTGGGATTTTTGATAACTGAACCAATTACCGTGAAAACCTTTTCTTCATCTTCAGTGACAGATTTCCTTGTAATGGGTTTTTTATAATTGACACTCCCCATTCCTCAAATTGGTGTAATAAGCACTTAAAAACTGTTGGCATAGGATGATTTCTTTCAGGAAACTTTTGAGCATAAACTCGAGAAGCCAATAAACAATATTTATGACATTCTCCAAGGGTGAAAATCAAGTCAATACGCCCTTCTCTTGGATAATTCTTCATTTTCACTTCACACAACACAATCATAATATTAAAATAACGACCAACACGTCTACAATTACAAAAAACAATACCACTCTAGCTATCAAAAGATAGCAGATCAGTAGACTTTGCAGTCTAAACTGACAAATAAAATGTTTTGACAAAAAAAAATTGTGGACACCCTGTATAACATGGTAAGTTTATTATCATTGGGATATAAAATATTATATCTTGTTACACTTCACTATAAATTACGCTTACATAACTTAAATACTTCTAAAGTATTTGACACGTAAAAATTATTTTAGAATTTTATTAAATTCCTATTATTTAAAAAACCTTAAGATTTAGGTATTATAAACCTTATTAAAACAGACCCTTATTTTGTTCAGCGAATCCAAAAATGCAATAACATACAGAACATTCCATTTAAAAAAACGCAACTTTGATACCTTTAGAGCTTTTGGGACACCCTGTACACCACAAACATATTTTTAAAATGTGCGCTGGGTAGGCGTTGGACAATTCATAAAATAATACTTTTTAAAAATCATACGGTTTAGCCGCAAACTTCCGTGCCGTATAGCGTGAATAACCCTGTATGTCTTATTCAAAATTTAAATCCGTCGTTCTTATTGAAACAGTCTTTACTATTAACGGTAACAGTTGTCATTGCTGTACTAATAAAGCTTCATAAAACTTTTAATTCCAATTACACTCATTTCCAACCAGATTGAACTTGTTTCAATAAAAACCCATTTGCCTCAAATACATATTAGCTAAGTAGCACAAGAAATTTAAATGAAATTACAAAGTATTTGGTTGGGGACTTCGCCCGAAAGTAGACTGCCAATATAAAACCCACTAAGAGTAGTATTATGGAAAAATATGTACATATTTTAGTCTAAATGGTATCCGAAATTACGCTTAAAGGTACTCGGGCACCGAAAACGTGAGACCGCCAAGGGGCACATTTGTAAATCACTGAAAGGCACCGACAGATAATAAGTGAGCTGGGGGACGGACGAACCGGCGATCGGAAAATCTCATACGGTCGTTTCGCGATCCATATGTATAAATTCTACCGGAGGTCCCTTATGTCAAGAGTTTAGACCCGGGTCCAACAGCCTCGGACCCATATTTAACTTTTTTTTGGCTAACTTTCGGCGTCTACGCGCTCTTAGCCGGTGCACTGTGAGGCATATTAGTAAAAATAACGAGGCGAACACCGCGAAACCCGTCGCGAGAGCCGCTAGTGGCAAGGAATTTAACAGTTTTGATGTGACACCGCACTGGGCTTCCGCCTCATCATAGCCGGAAGGACAATTGTCTTTGCCGTCGCACCAAAGAAACGGACTAATGCACGCGTCGAGCTCCGGACACTTGTGCGCACACTCCAAATCGGTATCGTTGGAACTCGCATTAACTGGCACTTGCAGCTGAGTGAGGAGGGAATGCCTTGATCTGGATATTTCCAACCAGTTGAAGGCGGCGATGGCTGGCTCTACGCCGATCCATTCCACTACGAACTGGGGAGGACGTTGGACCAAATGTGTCAACCCTTCGCCTCTCCACTCTTCGCTGAATACTTGCACTGCCATGGGCAGACGCCCGGGCTCTGCAGGACAAATTGCTCGAACTAATTTAGGAGGCTTACCTGAGTAAACTAATATCCTGTTGTTCGAGGGACAAGGCGAAACCTCATCAGGACGAGGCTTTAAGGGGAGGAAAGCCCCCCAACTTAATAAAAACAAACTTTTGTTGTGCCTGGCTTCCACCAGCCATGGCAGACCATTACATAATGTCTCAGTTTTATCTGCGGGCGGATAGGAAAATTGTACCTCACCACCGTCCCCGGTCAGTCGCTGATATCGTGGACAATCACTTAGCCGAACCAACTCGAATTGAGCATGGAAGTGCAGCACCGTAAAATCTTCGGTAATCTTCATCCCGTTTGCTCGAAAGTGCAATTCTAAAAACCTAGACGAAGAACGGAAAACCAGTGGCTTATTTGTGAGAGTTGAGTTGTCGCATATACAGGCTTTGGCTATTTGGATGTCTTTCCATGGTACTTCGTATATGGCAAATTCGGCAATGTTGGGGTTTCCGTAATATTCGCAAATATGCCGACCACTGTGGGGATCGGCAAGAGTTTCACACGACGGATTGAGTCCAAACGAGGCATTGTTTATTGTTAGCTGTACCCGTTCGTTGGCTCCAGCTTCAAAGCGGTAAATACAGTGAATATCTTTTCTGCCTCCACGCCCAAACAGGAACACATTTCTCGGTCCAGTTATCTCTCCTACATGGTGTCTTTTGAACCTACGATGGCAGGGGCCAACACTTTTCTTCTCTGGCCAAGGTTCTCCTCCTAAGCGGGTATCTACAAATTCGTACTTAATTTTAAATGAAGCAGGATGTAACGCGGTTCCATCCTCAGTGTGATGTTGCAAAATCAAGTCTTTTTCCGTGGACATGTAGCTCTCCGCCCTTGTGCATGGGCGGGTAACCCTGGTGGAGTTGTTCAAAGCACTATGATCGCACAGAAGAGGAGGTTCGTCACATTTGTCTTCTATTAACGTTCGGTTGTCCCAAATCAGTAAGCGTGTGAGGCAACCGCCTCCAAATGTGCTGTTTCCCATCAAAGCGTGACTGCTCTCGCTTAAAAGCAAAGGCCGCTGACTATATGAGGTAAAGCTAAGCCATACAGTATCCCCAGGATATCCTCGGAATCTATACGTGCAGGTCGTGTTTGGTGGAAGAGAATGCCTGGGACTGATAAGCTTTCCTTTTCGACCTCGACCCGTCCATATTTCGTCACTTTCGGGACTAGTTGCGTTTATATCGAATTCGCACTTTTGCCTCTGCCGAGCGAAGTCTAGGGAATCGGAATCAGCGTAGATTATATCAACGTCTAGCTCAAAGCCTTTAAGAGGTGACTGACTTGGCGGGGAATGCAGCGGAATACTGTACGGGGAAGAATGAAAAGCAACCAGCATTTCCGGACCTCGAGAAACCACCCTTGGTAGCCAATCTCCGCCACAATACTTCGCCAAAACTGGGTCATCGGTGGAGCCTCCGTCATAGAAAATTAAATGGTCACGTTCCCCAGTGCAATCTCTCCAAGCCCTCAAGGCTCTGGCAGTTTTGTTCAAGCCGGCCACATTAATTGACCGTTTCATGTGCATTTTATGGGCTGCTTCTTGCCTCACGGCAATCATAGCATGTTTGCAAGTGGGTACGAATTTCTGCTTCAGGCTCCAGTAGCAAGACACGTTTCTTGGATACATACCGGGATAATTCGGGGACTGTATGCGACATCGCGTGCGATAACATTCCTCGAATTGGCGTGTGCAGTACGTGCCTGGAGCCACTTGACCTCTTTCTAGAGGCGATGAAACCGAACCGAATCGTACAACGGCTTCTTTTCGAGATACAAACCGGTATCGGAGGCGAAATGCAAATGGTAAATGTGGAGAGGCAAAGAGCTTGACACTGACGGTAACGGTGGACGTTTCGCTGTAGTATGCAGCAGGGCCTGAAGAGGAGCCGCACCACGAGCCCCCGGTAAACGGCCTTCCAAGTTCACTGAGCTGCATGTAACCATCAGGGCATCCATCCAAGGCGTTTGGCTCATAACGCCCCAGCGTGAACTCATCGAAGATTAGCTGAAACAAAATACGGTGCTTAATTTCCAATCGTTTATAATTTGCCTTTAAATTGTTATATTACGTTATATTCAATTGTTGAGAAAAAATCCGATTAATTGGTGAGTAAACTCGCTGGCGCAAGCAACTTCTCTCCCCATATTAACATGCTAAGGAAAAAATCGCCCTCTCTAAGAAAACCTTAAGGTACTGTTGATCATCTCGCGTTTGACTGGTGGTCATCTCTTCGCCATCGAAGTCTCTCGAAATCCTTTCCGAGATGTGACGAGAAGGCAGTAAGAAGATTCTAAAACCAAGGGTAGAATCGTTCCAAAACTTTATTTGTTGTGAGCCAGTTCAAATTTTCATGAATGTTCAGGTCGGTTGTATTTTGGACTAAACATGACTGTTTCACTTCCACGTCCATTTCCACAAAATTAATTAAATTATCAAAATCAAATATTTTGGTTCCCATATCTCATATTGTAAATCTAACATTCAAAACAGGAATATTTCCAGATTTATTCAAAAAGTCCTTAATAGTCCCAGTACACAAATCAGGCTCGAAAAAGCTCATAGCTAATTAAAAACCAATTAGTTTAATTAATAACTTTGCAAAACTGTTAGAAAAGTGTTTAAAGGACAGACTGGTCAACTTTTTTAAAGCAATTAAAATCCTGTCGGACAAACAATTTGAATTTGTTGAGAATTGCAGTACGGCTGATGCCATGTACAGCCTGACATCTGAGATTATTAATAATCTGAATGGAAGCAGAAAATGTTTGGCTATTTTCCTGGACCTCTCAAAGGCCTTTGACACTGTTCCTCATGATCAATTGATTAGTT